CAAGTACAAAACTTCTTTTTTTTCTGGTTATGAACTAAATAGCTGAGCTGACTAAGGCTAAGGTACTAATTGAAAAAAAAATAAATTAATATTCTAGTTTGTTATGCTAAGCTATAAAATGAGCAGGGGACAAATTGATTCTCTGCATTCATCCTCTACTGGCTTTGTTTCTGTGTATATCTGTCTCGTCAGGTCAAGATTTTTCTGAAATTTCTTGACTTGTTTAATCTCAATGGCTCCTTATCCTACAGTCTTATAAATAAAAATAATCAGGCAAACAAATTGACTACCTTCCAAAACCTATAGCCTACAAAACCTTTGACCTACAAAATTTCCCCAAAGAACGAAAAGTGAATGTGTTTTGTTTTTAGCAAAGAAATGGTAGGCCAGGTTTTTTTACCTAAGTTAGTCAGCTTACTTCCCCTCAAATTTATAATCAGATATTTTTCAAAATAACAAATGTCAATTAATAAATTGACAGGTGACTTTTAATCTATTAACTGATTTTTTATTTGCTACCCCAATGAACCTGGTGTGATCAGCACGCTCATCTTGAGAAAGAACAGTGAGAAAAAAGCAACTGCCATGCTTCTCCTGAAAGGGTGTCACTTCTCTGGCTAGTGTTCTGTTCCCTTTTCTACCAGCTGTGAATTCTGCATTTATTTTGGACAGAAATCAGCCTATACTTATTCACAGTTGTGTGAGGGGTGATTTCTTCACTTCTTGAAGTCTTTCCATCATTACTTTATTTATTATCTCAATGCAAAATAAAATTAATTATATGAAATTTTTGGTGTGCAATGTACAAGGTATCAAAATGATAATTTTATGGTCCCTTCTGGTATTACGATAGATACACGAGCTCATTAAAATGGTAGCTTTGAAATTAGTTTCCAAACCAGTTTTGTTATAGGCCTTATTAATGGCTTGATAATGTCAGCTGGTGGCAGCCTGAGGCATGCTTGCAGTTTATCTTCTCCAAGAAAATTAGGCTTTCGCCCAGTTCATTCTTTTGCAAGACCACATTGGTTGAAGACAATGAAGGAGAGATGCATTTTCTTATCACCTGTAGCTATTCTGCAATCTTGAGTGCATGGGTCATCTTCAACACTGTAAAAACTGACCTGAATTACATACAAGATTCCAAGCAATTAACATAAGGTATAGAAAAAGATCAGCTGCTCTCTATGTGGGGTCATCCTTCTTCTCAGGAGTGTTTCTGACATGTCCCAGGGACTGGAGCAATTCCTTCTGGACCACATTTCCCAGTCTGGGCAACCTTACCATCACTATAATGATATCACAAGATAGGAATAGACAAAACAGACTGCTTATCCTTTAGCAATATAAAAACACTAGCATCACCTCAATCACAAATCAGGGTAGGTGTGGTCCAGGAGGACAGAAGAGCCTTAGAAGTGTTAAACAGAATTACAGCACAGATGGAATGTTGTTCACACGTCCTGCCAGTGCTTAATTTTTGTATAGGAGTCTAAAAATATATTTGTTATTCTATTTTATTCTCACTCTTAAATATGTAAGTTCTCTTTTGTCCAAGTACATTTCAAAACTTCAATTACTTCCATTAACGCTTATTTTAGTTTCTGAGCAAAACAGTACTCTGAGCAAAACAGCAACTCAGTATTCATGACCTATTTATTACTTCATTTCTATGATGAGAAAGGCAGCAGTGAGGCCCTTCTGCAACAGCAGTAGGATTTACATTTCATAAAAAATGAATGGGGGAGCTGTGCTGGTGTATAAATGCTTCCATACCTTCTAGCTGGCAACATGCATGATATTGCAGACAACATCAAAAAAGGCTAAAAACTTGCATTTTTTCCTTCCTCTGCACTGCATAGATTTATGACTGGCAAAACCACCAGATCACCCCTTCTGTCCTCCACTCCCATTTTTCTTTTCTTCACTGAGCCTAAGATTGGGCCCATCCTCACAGATTCTGAACAGCTGAGGCACAAAACTTATTGACATGGTTGGGATGAAGCCTAGGCAGTATGTTTTTCCTAATGCTGACAAAATGTACCACTGTCCATCTAAATAGTGCTGTGCAGTACACATGGGTTGATTGATGTCCTTAAATCCACTAAGATAGCTAGAAATTAATAATAAGTTCTAATTATTTTATTTGTGGTTACTGGGTCCAATAGCCCCATAGTGGTGAGGCTGCTGCAGCTCCCCTTATTGAGGTCAACCCAGTGTGTATTCCCAGTAGCCATACAAACACATGCATAATACAAAAACAGGTGTACACACAGCCGGCCACGTAAATCAATACAAACAGAAACATCATGAAAACACAGGTAGCACTAACAGACCCAGATATATGAGCCACTGAGGCCTGCAGCCCCACTCTACTTCCTGATACAGCTTCCCTAGCTTACAGATACAAACCCTTTCACACTCCTTCTTGCATGCATACACACACTGCATCCCAGTAACTGGCCTTAGACAATTAATCTAACCAGCAACTGGTCCTGAACTCCCCAGTCCTTCCGTTACATGAAACACCCACATGCACAGTGAGACCCACAGTTATAAACCACACATCTCCCAGAAACAAGCCTTAGACATGCAGTCTGCTTGCTAGTTGGCTCTGGATGCTTACACCCTCAGTCACTGGTTCTAGTGTGTGCAAGCCTCTGAAGCCTGCAGCCCCATTGTAGTTGTTGGTAGACACTGTAAGTACTGTATGAGAACTACTACACTCATAATAAGCTATTCCTATAAGGATTGTCAGTTAGTGATTATTAATGTGAGTTCCATATTATACTACACACCACTGGAAGTTGTGTTGTTGGACATCATTGTTACCAAAAAAAAAAAAAAAAAGATTAAAAAAACCCCAAAACAACCAACAGCTCATGTTTCTTGAATAAAAAAGAAGTTAAAACTTTATTGCTATTTCAAGCAGCTGGGTCCTCAGCCTCTGAGCATTAAGAAGGTGTTAGTTTTAAAGATAAGATACTGTATTATATGATAAAATACAGTAAAATGTGATATGGAAGTACAGGAAAAACACAGCAGTAATGGCAACCAAGTAGAAAGAACAGGAGAGAATGAAGAACCGCCAAGAAGTAATATTCAGAAGTTCTTAGACAGAAGCATAGATCCTTTGCTATGGAAAGGGAGATATAATTTGCTGCTTTCCTGCT